GGAGCGAACTGGGGGGTGGGGGGAGAGGGCTGGGTGGGGAGAGAAGTGCAGCAATGAATGAATGGAAATCCAAACTCTCTGTAAATGTTCATTAAAATTATTAAAATATTTTAAAAAAAGACATCATGCGTTGGTACAAGAACAGATTTGGAAAATGCTAGGCACCATCAGGAAAACAAAGATTCTCTCCACTAGGCCAAGACTGCGATAGTTGGCACAATCAGTTTGCTTGGCTCTACAATCAACACTCTTGGCACCAGCAGCCAGGAAATTAAAAGACAAATTGCATTGGGCAAGTCTGCTATCAGAGACCTCTCCAAAATACTGAAGAGCAATGATGTCATTCTGGAGACTAAGGTGTGCCTGATATAGGCCATAGTCTTTGCAATTACTTGCTATTCATCAGAGAGCTGGACAATGACTAGGGATGACAGGAGAAGAACTGATGTGTTTGAGCTTTGGTACTGGAGAAAAGTTCTGAATATACCACAGACTGCTAGGAGAACAAACAAGTTCATCCTGGAGAGGGTGAAGCCAGGCTGCTCTTTGGAGGCAAGGATTTTGAAACTCTGACATACTTTGGACATGTTGCAAAACTGGATCAGTCCTGGGAGAGGGACATCATGCTTGGGAGGGTGGAGAGACAGTGCAGAAGAGCGAGACCCTCGATGAGATGGATTCAGTCACTGGGGTAATGAGGATAGATTCAGTCACTGGGGTAATGAGGATAGATGTGTCGGAGACAGTAAGATTGGCAAGGGATAGAGCAGGGTTTAAGGCTGTTGTACATAGGGCCGCTAAGAGTCAAAAGCACTTAACAGGCACCATCATCGCAACAGCAGGTGCCCACCTGGTGTCCTGGTGCCATGAGGTAACGGCTCAGCATCTGGACCTTTTCCACTATACTGCTGCACTTAGTAAACCCCAGCACACCAGAAAAACAGCCTTCACATGCACAGGGACACCACAGCATGTGCATAGCTTATCTACCGTGATGTCTACTTGACTGCAGGACTTCCAATGTTTCGGAGGTTTGCCAGACACACGCATCGTTTTGCGAAGAAGCCTGGGCCATGTGTGACCACTGAAATGTGCTGGCACGCAGGCCACCACGTCCATGGACTTCAGCCCACTACAGCCCACGATTCAGACACACAAGCTCTGCTAAGTCCTCATGATAGGAGACACTGCCTGTAACAAGAGGCCACCGGCTCCCCAAAACAGCAGTGTATGGCAATCCTGTGTTACAAAGCCAAAAACTGCTGTGAGGGGCCCTGGGCCAGGAGGGTCCTTTCTCCTCATCTGGATCCAGCTTCAAAATGATTTGGAAGGAGAAGGGCTATGAAACACTTGTACCCCAACCCTCGCAACTGGTGACAGTGTCAGGAAGATGCTGAGCTATGCCAAGAATGTAGCTCTGTGGGTGTGCACCCACAAGCGTGTGTGTGCATGTGTGTGATGTCTGCTCCTCCTGCTGTCAGGTGCCACTGCGTTGTCCCGATTCATCACATCCCCAGTACAGCAGAACAAACACTGCCAAGGCCTGAGTCTCCTCAGGAAAATAATTAAGTCATCTTCACTGCAGCCTCTGTGGTAACCTGACCCCTGAGAGGCCTGCCCACTCTTCACCACACAAAATGTCTGTGTCCAGAGAATGGGCATGCCCAGACAGTGCAACAAAGCCTCACCAACCTTGCCTCAAAGGAGCACGCTGGCCACACTCTCCAAGAAAGCCCAGTTTGTTCTTCCAGCAATCTGTGGCGTGTCCAATGTTCTCTGCCAACACCATGACTTTCCTCTAGGCTTCTGGACTCATGGCCTACTGTTCACATGCATGTGAGGTGACAGGCGAACAGCGCAAGTGAGTCACGTGCACCTGAGTCCTCAAAGCGACATCCATGCTCTTCAGTACTTTAAAGAGGAGTGTAGCAGCAAGTGTGCCCAATGTAGTAACTCAATGGGCTACCCTACAGCTGTTCCCACCCAAGTGAAATGGTAACAACCTGACAACTCCACTCTTTTCTGTTTATCACAATGCTGCAGATCAGTCTAGCTGGGAAGATTTTTAGCTTCATGTCAATACACAAGCCACACTGAAGGCTGCAGTCTTCAATATCCACGGTCTTCCTCACTCTGAGTGTGTTGTCATCCATGTAACATCTAAATCATGGCTAGTTATCATCGCCACAGCAGAGAGAGGGCTAGGATGAGAAAGGAGTACAGGGAAACGGGAAACTCAGAAAACGATAGCAAGTTTATGAGATCTCCCTTCTTAATTTCCAAGTGCTCCCACTCAGTTCTACAACTTTCATCCTCTCATCTCACATTTCAATTTCTACTCAATAGATTTTTTTCATCTCCCTTAAGTAAAAATACTCTGGACAAGCTGACCCACAAGGCCCACCCATTTCCTGAGCAGCAGTGACCTGAGCTCAATAGTCTGCACAGCTGAGCCCAGGCAGGAGGGTACAGGGACAGGGTGCTGGGCCCCCCCCAGTTCAGCAGCAGTGAGGACTGCTCATTGCCGAGAGCAAGCCCACAGTGCAGACCTCACACCTGGCCAATGGTTCAGGGGCCATCCCTAGGCACTGCCCACCCATGTGGGAGACCAAGGAAGCTCAGTTCTTCGACCTGTTCCTCCAGGTGTGTAAACACACGTCATCAGCCATCACCAGTTGTTGAAGCCCAGTCCCAGCACTGAGTGCAAGCAACATCTGAGAGTGCAGCCCTACCTCCAGGCAGGCTCAGGGGGCTGAGAGTGGAGCTGGGTGGACGAAAGGAGTCCATGAGCATCCCCACTAGACCTCGGCACCCAGGGCCCTCCTCCTCAGCGCTACCTCTGAGGTTCTTCTGGACTGACAAAGTCAGGGTTTAGACACAGGTCACATTCCACCCAGAACTCCTTAAACCGTCCTGGAAGACTGAGCTGTCAGTGACGGCTAAGACCTGACAGCGGAGCAAGGGAATCAATTGTGTCTCCTGTAAAGTTCACACCAAGCAGACACCAAGACACTGCTCCTGTCAGGGGCCAGCAAGGCAGGGCGACAGAGAAGCTTCCATAGCCAGTCAACCAGGAACCGCCCTGGACATGCCGCTCAGCAAACAGGTCTAGCATGCCATGGAGCCGTGGTTGCATGGGGCTATGGCTGCTTTCCCAAGACCCACAGGACAGATGGGCAGTCTCCTCAACAGAAGTTGTACTGCCTTGGACACCCACTGGGCACTGGGGGCCAGAACCAATAGACACAGCAGACAGCTTAGTTCTGGGGATTTCATGCCCATGTAATGCCATAGTAGTGGGCCTCACGTGACATACTCTATGTTACTCACTCTATACCAACCACATGTGTTCTGAACCCCAATCTATGATCTATCCTGACCACAGTGTGCAAGTGTGCACTGTATCCCAAACCTATGCTCTAACCAACCACTGACCTACACTGAGCCCCAAACCTACCATCTAAGTGACCACTATTTTATACTGAATCCCAAACCTATGATCTAACTGACCACAGTCCTACACTGAGCCCCAAACCTACAATCTAAGTGACCACTATTCTATACTGAACCCCAAACCTATGATCTAACTGACCACTGTCCTACACTGACAAGACCATGCTAGTTCCATAGGAGCCCCAGGAAAAGGACTTCTGCTCTTCCTGGACTTTACTGCCCCAGGTGGTGCTAACTCCTGACCTGCCTGGCTGCCCACCAAGGGGCTGGAGGCTCTGGTCCACTCAGGACACACCTCCAAAGAAGGTCCAGCAGCCAACTTCCAAAGGATCGGAGACAATATCTCACGGGGCCAGGTCCATTCAGACATACATGGATCACCAAGCGACCCTGGCAATGGTGGGGGCAGAAAAACAGCAGCACCCAACTGCTACCACGTGTCCAGCCGATTCTCACCCATGGTGACCCCACAGGGGCAGAGCCGACCTGACCCCACTGCAGACTGTTGGAGAAAGTTTATAGGGCTGTGACAGCAGAGCTGGCCCCTCTGCACATTGTAGAAGGGTTACAGGGCTGTGACAGTCACCTTGGCCTCTCTGTGGACTATAGAATGGTTACAAGGCCATGACCCTTTAAGAGTAGAATGCCTGGCGTGTTTGCCAAGGAGCGGCTGGGTGGGTTCAAAACTGTAAGCTTCTGTTTAACAGTCATGTGCTCTCCTATGGTGAATGCTGAGTCATCTGTCAGAAAACCAGCTTCTGGTGTGTAAGCGAATGGAGGAGGAGGAGCTCTATCTGTCTTCCTGTGTTGTATGCTCATCAAGTAGAATCAGTTCACAGCTGAGCCTCCAGTAGTTTCTGTTAGGTGCTGTTGAGTCGTAGACGACTCATAACAACACTATGAACGAAAGGCCTGAGGACTGGTCACAGAGTTTCTGGAAGCAAGCCATTTTGGAAGTGGATGCCACTCCTGTTTCCAAGCTTGTTTTAATCAGGAAGCTCCACCATTATCACACTTGGCACATCAGTGTCACAGTGTTTGGCATCACAGCAACCAGGGTTTCTAGAGGTAGTAAAATCATGGGAGAAGATTGCCCATCTTTCAATGTTACCACGTGTCATCCTCACAGACCTTGTGAACACAGTTTTTTCATGGCTGGCCTACGTGAAAGTGTGTCACCTGCTCCCACGTTGTCCCAAGCATGGACATTTCCCATCTGTCTTCCACATCCCTGAACCCTCACTCCCCAGGCTCTGTCCTGGCAACCCCACCAGCTCACAGGATCACAGTGCCTCACACAGGTGAGTGCTCCTCTCAGCTGAGCACCCTGCAAGGGTGGAAGCCTCTCCCAGGTAAGCGTCCCACACAAGTGAGCATGTGAGCTCTGCTCCATGAAGCAGCCTTCCACTTGGGTTCATTCACAAACACAGATCATGTGTTGTATCATGAGGGCTCCTCAAAGACTGAGCCTCCAACACCACCCTAGGATGGATGCCTGTGCAGCAGGTGCCCACCTTCCTACAGCCATGTAGGCCCGAGACCCTCACCTTTGCCAGTGGTGCGGCAGCTCCCGGCTTCACCAGCTTGCTGGCTGCAGATGTGGCCACGTTGCTGTCGGCCTTGGCTTTCTCCACGGCTGGTGCTTTACCGACCCCAGACACTTTCGGCACCGAGCCAACACTCCGGCCTGCTTTCTTCATTCTGGGCTGCCTTTTCACGATGCATTTACAAACAAACCTGCAGAGAGAGAGACAGACACACAGATGACTGAGAACACAACTGGGAAATGGGTCTCTGGATGTTTGGTACTGAAGAAATCCGTAGTTCATAAACAACCTCTCATTTGTCAGTTTGACTTACTGATAGGCTTCCATATTGCTGTGATGCTGAAAGCTATGCCCCTGGAGCTCAGATACAATGGGAATGGCCACAGTGGACAGGTTTCAGTAGAGCTTCTCACCAGGAAACAGAACTGCCCATCCACTTCTGAAATAAAGGGCCCGTGAAAACCCAAAGGGCAGCTGCTGAACACTGACCAACAAAGTGTCGGAGGTAAGGCCCTGGGGGTTGGAAGAGCTGCTTTCCAAAGCAGACTCTACCTTAATGAGGTGGGTGGAATGATGCTTCCACTCAGTGAAGGATCTCGATTTGCTGATGTGGCACAATGCAAAATGAGAAATCACTGCAACATCCATCAATGATGGGAACATGACAAGTGATGGGGAAAAGTCTGAAGTTGTCAAACATTCCACTGTACTTAGGTTTACTGCGTTTTACTTAGAACCAACAACACTGGAAGCAGCGGTCAAAAAAAAAAAAAATCAAAAGATGTACTGCACTATGCCACTGTGAAGCCAAAGGCCTCTTTAAAGAGCAAGGGTGGCAACAATGAATGAATGGAAATCCATGTTCTTTACAAACTTACAATAAAATCTCAGTAAAATAAAGAGCAAAGGTGACAGTGTAAAGACTAAGGTGTGCCTGACTTAAGCTACCATATTTTCAGCTGTTTCATATGCAAGTGCAAGCTGGATGATGAAAAAGGAAAACTGAAGAATACCTGATGCCTTTGAATTGTGCTGCTGGCAAAGAATACTGACTAGCCCACGGACTGCCAAGAGAACAAATCTGTCTTGGAGGAAGTGTAGCCAGGGTGCTCCTGAGAGGCAAAGAAGGTAAAGCTTCGTCTCACACACACTGGGCATGTTGTCAGGAGGAGCTTTTCTTAGGGAAAAGACATTCTGCTTGGAAAAGCAGAGGGTCAGTGAAAAAGAGGATGCCTCTCAAGATGGAAAGACCTTTTTCTTGGGAAAGCAGAGGGTCCGTAAAAGAGAGGATGTTTCACAAGAAGATGGATCAATACAATGTCTGCCGCCATGGAGATGGCGAAGGACCGGGCCAGGTTTCCTTCCGTCTGTTGTGGAGTTGGAATCACCTTCAAGAACATCATTAGTAGTCTGACAGACGGTCTCCATAGAAACAAAAGATGAAGACTCTGTATAGATCTGTTCACCAAAATGTATCCTATTTTGAAAGCTTCTTCCTTGACTATTACTGATCTGAAATTATTCTATGCCTTCTATTCGTCAATAAAGAATATACTAGATTGGTAACAGGATCCGTGGAGTAGAAGAGGAGACGCTCCCTAAGCAACTGGCTGGATGCCCTAAGATGGTGACCAGCCCCCGCAGTCAGAACCGGCTGCACTCTGGCTGGCTGTTTAATGGCATATTATCCAGTTCCATCTTCACAGCAAATATTCTGTGACCTATCAGCAAAGGAGAGGAAGACCCTCTACCAGATGGACTGGCAAAGTGACGGCAGTAATGGGCTCAAGTGTGTTGGAGACAGTGAGGATGGCACAGGAGAGGAGAGGGTTCAGGTTTGCTCTTCATTGGTGGCTATGAGTCGTACGGCTCAATGGCACCATACAACAACATCATTTCTTAGACTATCCCACCGCATCACAACTGTTTATCAACACATGGGTCCTGATGTTTGGTTCAGAAGATGGGAGCCGTCCATCTATGTGCAGGGACGCCTGCTTGGTTCTGCCAATAAGATGGCCTGGAACAGCTGACAGCCACAGGGCTGAGGCAGGACCCACCCAAGAAAGCACCTACCAACACAACTGGACAGGCAGCCCTGCACCATCATCATCATGTTTGCAAAGACACAGGGACTGTTTCAGGAAGCAACTCATCAGATGACAGAGACACCTGAGCTGTAATCATCCCAGGGACCCTGGCTGGATTGCTGGTGGCAGCGAGGGGCAGTCAGAGGGTCAGAGAGGAAGCTACCTGTGACAACTCTGAGAAGCCACACTGACCAGAGAGGCCAGTCTATTTTATGATGATTTCTAGTCACTTATAACCTGGAGAGAAAGGGGGCTCATTCAAGTCACCAATGACCTGAGCAGCCACTTGGCTAACCTGTGCTGGCTCACTCCCGGCTTCTCCTGCTTTCTTATGCCAAAGATGTCACCTGGGGAGATGCAGACAGCGGGGGCCTTGGGGACTCAACCCCAACCCAACATTTCACAGAAGAGGGGCTGCTGTGAGTAAACACATATGGCCACTTCCTGAGGGCTGCTTCAGGAAAACGGGGCGTGGTGGGTATGAAGCCAGTCATAATCCACTTGGGCCTGTCCTCCAGTCTTAGGCCAAGCTTCCCAAGAAGACAGCCACACGACACAGCCAGCAGGCCTGTGCGTCTCCCTCAAGAATAGTCACCTCCAGGAAGAGAGGCTAGCCAATGCTCACAGCCTTCCCTTCACATTCTGCGGCTTCTATAATCATTATCCTGTAAACATACCCAAGGCCTCTTCCCCTCTTACCCCAGGTCCCATACCTGCACCCCATTCACAATGCTGCTCAGACCCTCCACGAATTCCCCCTCCTCCAGCCCTGCCAGGAGCTTGTCTCAGACAAGTGCTATACTGTGGACAGCCTGACATACTGAAAGCTGAGCCGCAGCTGAGATCAGAGTGCAGACTGGACTGGGCGCCCTCTGCGGAGAATTCCGCCCAGCCTCCAGAGAGATACTGGATGCCCTCTGCACAGAGAGTTATGCCCAGCCTCCCACCAGAGGCAATGATGCATCTGAACTTTGGAATCATTCTCCTCTTGGTTTAAGAATTAATCTTACCCATTGTTATCTTGGCAACACTTACGTATAAGAAAAATATAGTCTCACAAGATAGGAATTTTTTTTATTGTTGGCTTAAACTAAATAAAAGCCATTAGGAAAGCTACGGAAGGAGGGGACGTCACAATCCTAAGGAGTGGAGACCTCTGTCTGGCCTTTCTCTTTGTTAGCATTCACTTCCTCGTGTTCCCGTTTTCCTTCTGTGTCCAAATAATTCTATACCACAGCCTCTCCATGTGGTCTGCCCCTGAGGACAATGTATAGGACGTCTTGGCAGTGCTGCCACATGTGGATGCTGAGATGTGAGCAGAGTCCACAGGGCTGAGGAGCTGAACTCTAAGTCTTACTGTGTTCAGATCCATTTAAACATGCATACTTCCACGTGGTGATGGTTGTTGTTGTTGTTAAGATGCCATCAAGTTGAGTGTGACTCAAAGCGACCTATGAACAACAGATTGGAACCCTGTCCTATCCTGTGCCAGCCTCATCATCTCAGACACACTTGAGCCCATCGCAGCAATCACGGTGTCAAGCCACCTAGTTGAGGGTCTTCCTCTCTTTAGCTGATCCTCCATCTTTCCAAGCATGATATTCTTTTCCAAGGAATGGCCTCTCTTAGCAAAATGCCCACAGTACGTGAGACAAAGTTTCACCATTCTTGCTGCCAAGGAGCTTGCTGACAGCACTTTCTCCAAGACATAACTTTGTTCTTTCAGTAGTCCACGGGATCAGTACTCTTCTCCAACACTGCAACACAAGGCATTCATTTGTCTTTTGTTATCTATATGCTGTCCAGCTCTCAGAGTCATAGCAAGTGACTGAACAAACTACGGCTTGTAAGGAACACATCTTAGTCTTTAAGCTGACATCGTTTTTCTTCAGTATCTTGAAGCAGTCCTTGACAGTGGACTTTCATAATGTTATAGGTGTTTTGATTTCATGATTGCTGGTATCAAAGATGTTGACTGTGGATCCTAGCAAGATGAAATCACTGACAACTTCAATATTTTCGCCATGTATCAAAATGTTGTCTATTGGACCAATGGTGAGGACCTCTGTGAGCAGCACCTACCATATTAACCAGTGCCCATTCCCCACTGTCATCCCTGCCCTAAACCAGTGAACTACGACTTCATATCCACTGGACAGCTACAATGGACAAAGCAGGCACCAACAAGCGTGAGTGAGGCTGTGTATGGAGCCTCTGCTGAGGCTCAATGAGTCCAGGACAGGGGTGACCTGTGACCTCCCAGGGTTCACACCCCATCGGCCCAACAGTCTGTCCTCTAACCAGTATTTAAACACAGTGTTAGGGTCCTGAAATGAACTCTTATAGACAGATTTCTAAAAATATCTAGTCAGGAAATCAAAAGATGAATTGCATTTAAGAAACCTGCTGTCAGGGATCTCTCCAGAATGTTAAAGAGTAATATGTCAGTCTAGAGACTAAGGTGTGCCTGATTAAAACCATGCTCTTTGAAATTGCTTGCTATGCATCAGAAAGCTGGACAATGAATAAGGATGAGAGAAGAAGAATCAATGCTTTGAGTTGTAGTGCTAGAGAAGAGTACTGAACATACCATGGACTGGCAAGAGAACTTAACAGGTCTGTCCTGGAAAAGGTGAAACCGAGTTGGTCCTTGAGATAAGGAATTTGAGGTTCTGTCTCACATACTTTGGGCATATGGCGAGGAGGGACCAGTCCTTGGAGAAGTACATCATGCTTGAAAGAACAGAGGGACAGAGCAGGAGACGAACACCCCAAATGAGATGGACTGACACAGTAAGGCAATGAGATTAGGTGTGCTGGAGACTGTGAGAGATTGGCTCAGCAGGGTCTTTATGAGTTTCAGGCTCCTCGACAGCACATAACAACAATATGGCAACTAGAACATAGAAAAATGTGCAAATGTGAATGTTCAGACAGAGTTCCCCAGTTCTCAGCTGAGTCACCTGAATATGACCACCACAAACATAGCCATGAGGCATTCAAGACCGGGGCGCAAGTAAGGCAGAGCTCACGAGAGCTCTCCTGTCAATGGCTCTGGGCATGCTCTGGGAACAAAACTACCTCTTGTCAATATCT